TCACCGGCCTTCCCAAGAAGACCATTAGACAGCTGCAGTTCATCCAGAACGCTGCTGCCAGGATTCTGACAAGAACCAGAAAATCTGAGCATATCACACCAGTCCTCAGGTCCTTACACTGGCTTCTAGTTACATTTAGTATTGATTTTAAAGTACTTTACTCGTTTATAAATCACTCAATGGCCTAGGACCTAAATACATTGCAGATATGCTCACTGAATATAAACCTAACAGACCACTCAGATCATTAGGATCGAGTCAGTTAGAAATACCAAGGGTTCACACAAAACAAGGGGAATCCGCTTTTAGCTATTTTGCTGCCCGCAGTTGGAATCAGCTTCCAGAAGAGATCAGATGTGCTAAAACATTAGTCACCTTTAAATCTAGACTCAAAACTAATCTGTGTAGCTGTGCATTTACTGAATGAGCACTGTGCGATGTCCGAACTGATTGCACTGTATTTTATGCAACCCGAAATGATTGCACTGTATTTTATGTATAATCATTTTCTATTAAATGATCTTAAATTCATTTTAAATAAATTTTAAAATAATTTTCAGTTTTTAATTTCCTTGTTTAATTTTTGTGATTATTTTTGATGATTATTTTATTTTATTTTATGTAAAGCACTTTGAATTACCATTATGTACGAAATGTGCTATATAAACTTGCCTTGCCTACTAAAAATATTAAAAACATAATACGTCTATAAATTAAAAACTGCAGCTATTGAAACCATTGCTGAAACTAGTTTAAACAAATCTGAAAATTGAAAAACAGTACTAAACTTTGTCACATTAACATTAGTTTAGGCTTCATTGCATTCTGTACTTTCTTTTAGAGGAAGGTTATCAATCATACAGTATGGTGAGTATTGTTCACTGGAATGTTTTTCAGCAGTGAAGTCATAAAGGAGTCTCAACTCAAGTGCTGCTGACTCACGGGTTGGATGTAATATGGCTGTTTTCATAGCTGTATTGACAGTTGCTTTCACATGGTCAGCCTTTCCAAGCCGTGTGCCTGTGTGCGCACTGTTGAGCCATTGAAATCAAATTATCAAGTGAAACTGCTGGGAAACGGCTCTAAAATGTGTCACGTTTTGAGAGAATAACGCCCCTGTAGGACCATAGACTGATGAGGAACGGCAGCCCTTCTCTGCCCTCTGTGCCATTTCTCTTTGACTTCACTGTTTTCTCATCAACTATCCTGTCGGTCAGCAGGAATGATAGAGATGCTGCGGAAGATAAACTTGAGTCGTGCCGTGCGCACCATGCATGAGCTGTTCCCAGAGGAGTACAACTTCTACCCACGCTCCTGGATACTGCCTGAGGAATACCAACTCTTCTCCACACAGGTACAATCTCAATGAGGGAAACACCTCAGTGAAGATAGTGTGCTTGGTTAGGACACGGTATCAATCTGTGAAATCACAAAGAGGACATTTACAGAAGCCTTGTCTTCTTGCTGGATACCCACAAGACAAACTCACAGGACAAACTGCCTCCAGCAGTATTTCTCTCAGTGGTGTATCTATAGGTAGATTGCTGTAGTAGTAATTGGTCAGGACAGAATCACAGTAAAACCAGGTTAAGCAGTTTAGTTGCCAGCAACAACTAATTGTGAATGACAAGATTGTTACAAGATCTTGTAGTTACTGGATTTACACGATCAATCTCCCACATATTACAGTTACTTTAGCTTTGCGCTTTATTTGTACAGATGGGCTGCTTAAAGGGGATTTTATCTTACACTCTCCAGTAGGTTAAAACAGTTTGTGCTTCAATTTGTTAGTTTTTTACTTATTATATCTCTTTTTGAGATTAATTATTACTTATGTGTATTTGTTTTCACATGTACATATTTTTCTTTTGAGCATGAGACAGACAAGACTTTTGTGGGCTTGTGTTTGATACAATAACATTTTTTATTTTACTAGAAAAGCTGCAGAGGGCAGCAGAGATCTGTGGAAGGAAAAAGAAAAAGAAAAAGAAAAAAAAACAGCTGATTTGCTGATGCATGCTGGCTAAAACGGAAATATGAGACTTTGTTTACCAACCCTAATAGCCATAATGTTATTAACAGATAGTCACAACAAGCACTCACAAACCTTATATAAACTTTCTGACAAATGTCACTTCATCTTCCGCTTTTGTCCTCTTTTTTTAAGATTTGTCTCCTGAAGGACAATGATTCAACCCTCAAACCCACGTTCATTGTTAAACCGGACAGTGGATCCCAGGGCGACGGCATCTACCTCATCCGTGACCCCGCTGATCTTCGGGTCATCTCAGGTGCTCAGATCAAACAAGCAGTTGTTCAAGACTATATCCAGAAACCCCTGCTCATCGATAAACTGAAGTTTGATATCCGCCTCTATGTTCTGGTCCGCTCATTGGAGCCTCTAGAGATCTACATCGCTAAAGAGGGCCTGTCCAGGTTCTGCACAGAACCCTACCAAGAACCCAGCCAGAAGAACCTCAGTCATGTTTTTATGCACCTTACCAACTACTCCCTTAATGTGCACAGCGGAAACTTTGTCCACTCCGACAGCTGCAGCACGGGCAGTAAACGCACCTTCTCTAGCATTCTCTATCGCCTGGCATCTAAAGGAGTGGACATCAAGAAGGTCTGGTCAGACATTTTTGCTTTGGTTATCAAGACAGTAATTGCACTTGTGCCTGAACTGAAGGTGTACTACCAGGCAGATATACCACCTGGAAAACCAGGACCGACATGTTTTCAGGTATATTTACAATGAATTAATTTGTGTTTGTGTGTTGTGTTTGGCATATAGGTGGCCTGAATCACTATGGTCAGTCAAATGAGAAAAATGAGCACAAACCCATATGCTGCTAACTTAGTTTTTCCTTCACCAGGTGACCCCTAATCCTGTGCATTTCATTGTTTTTCAAAGTCAATAAATAATAAATAACAGAAGATGATGTGTCACAATTTTAGATCCTGGGCTTTGATATCCTGCTGATGAAAAACTTGAAGCCTATATTACTAGAGGTCAATGCCAATCCCAGCATGAGGATTGAACATGAACAAGAGGTGAGGGTGCAGATGCTCTTTTAGCGTGATGTGATTCAAATAAACCGGTACCTTAAAAAATGTACCGTGGCAGTACTAAAGATAAAGATATCTTTGATATATTTTGATATTATTATTTTAAAAATCTTGTGTGATATAACTTGTGTTTGTTTGTTTGCTGGTTTTTATTGTATTTGTTATACTTTTTTTAAATTGTTTTTGCCATGAAAATAGCCTTTGATGCTGACATGACATTAAATAAATATACTATACTATACTATTCTGATATTATTATTTAGGTGGTTACTTATTTCAAAAATACCATTGTACATGTCAAAAAGTGTTTAATATATAATAATAATAATAATAAATACATGGTATTGCCACAGTACATGTCCAAAAAACATGATGCTACTCATCAACTACTCTTCAAATTTTGGGGTCAGTAAGATATTTATTTTTTCAGTAAAGCTGCGTTAAATTAATCAAGTGGCCACAAAGACATTTATAGTGTTACAAAATATTTGCATTTCAAATAAATGCAGTTCTTTTGAATTCTTTGATTCAGCAAAGAATCCTGAAAAAAAGTCACGGTTTCCACAAAAAGTCTAAGCAACTGTTTTCAACATTGATAATAAGAAATGTTTCTTTAGCAGCAAATCATCCCATTAGAATGATTTCTGAAGGATCATAGGACACTGAAGAATGAAAATACAGTTTTGCCATCACAGGGATAAATTACATTTTAAAATATTATAAAATATAAACGTATTTTTAAATGGTAGAAGTTCATTTAGATTGTAGTAATATTTCACATCATTACTGATTTTTTAAATGTATTTGTGCTCAAATAAATACAGCCTTGGTAAGCATAAGAAACTTCTCTCAAAAAGATTAACATTTGGTCTTTCTGACTCTAAGCTGATAATGACTACATTTGTGTTTACAGACTAACAGGGATTTACAGACTAAACATGAGTCTGTTACGATGCTGATCGTTGCCACCATATGTTGCAGGTGTCACCTGGTGTGTTTGAATATGTACCGAGTCCAGTAGATGAAGAGGTGAAAGTGGGTGTGATCAGAGACACGCTGCGGCTCATGGACCCTGCTCAGAGGAAACAACACGCAACGTGAGTCATAGGCTTTAAGGCTTATGGGACAGGTGATGTTGTGTTTGTGTGCATATGCGCATGCCTACCAGTGTGTTGTCATCCGTGCCTCAGCTTTGTGGAGCTGAAATAATGGCCTGCTGAGCTGCAGTTATAAGCCTTTCAGACGGAGTAATTAAATTCAGGAAGTCCAGTGTTGGAATTTCACACTTGTGTGGCCACTCTTCCTCTATCTCTCTCAATCATGGAAATGCGGACACTCTCATGCCCCATGAGCAAGTTTGTGTGTCTCATGCATTCAGCTTTTATTGCTGCTCATTGTACACGGACACACTTCAGTGTCTGGGCCTGGAGGGAAATAAAAGTCAAGCAGCCATTGGTTTTAAAGGGGTCCTAGTATGCTCTTTTACAAAGTATTGATTTTGTTTTGGGGGTGTACTAGAACAGGCTCTCATACTAGGTTGTTCGAAAAACACATTATTTTTCACATATTTTACATTATTACAACACCTCTCTCCTCAGTCTGGCATGAACGGCTCGAATAGTTCCTGTATCAAATGAAGGTCCGCCTTCTGAAATACAAAATGTGCTGTGATTGGTTAGCTGGGCCAGTGTGTGTTGTGATTGGCAGCACTCGGCTCCTGGTCGGGAAATGTCATGCCCCTTACCATAGCCGCCTGTGAGCTTCAGTGTAAATATTGCGTCAAAATCAAATCAATTTGAGCGCGATTTAAACCCGGATGATTGTAACCACTCTAAGTTAGTCTGCCTTGTGAAAACTAGCGCGTCTCCGACATAGTGATAACACTCGTTGCCTTCTCTAGTGCAGCTCAACCAGGTCTCGTCCCATTCATCGGTATTTGTGGAATCACAAATCTTGGAAAATATGCGTTGTAGTCCAAACGAGTCGTTCGTTGTAGTTTTTGAAAAGTGATTTCTGTTAAATAAAATATCTCCTTTTGAATTAGACTTTGAGCTTTGTAACTTTGCAGATCTTTTTTTATGCTCAAACAGCAACATTACAGACTTACTAAAGTTGAAAAAGTGAAAAAGCATAATAGGACCCCTTTAAGGAAAGTGTGGAGCCATCTCAGAGTTTAATTGAGACTTGCATGTGCACTCAGAGCAGAAAAGACTCCCTGTGCACATTTTTGTTTAATATCTGCTAATTTAACCTTTAGATGTGCATTTTTAATGATCTAGCACAGTTGACTGGTTTGTGGTGTTTGAGAAATGAAAAACAGTTTAATCAAGGTTTCCTTGTGCGTGTCTGTTGTTTTCAGTTCTTGATTAGGAATTCTTGCAAAAAAAAAAGTGTAAAATCTTGAGAAATCATTCTGATCAGAAAACATTTCTTGCTATTATCAACAGTTGTGCTGCCTAATATTTTGTTGGAAACCAAGATACATTTTCAAAGTATTCCTTGATGAATACAAAGCTCAAAAGAACATTTATTTGAAATATAAATATTTTGTAAGTAACTAACTTTATAAATATCTTTACTGTCACATGATACATTTAAATACATTTACAATTTGTGTACTTTTATTTGTCTTAAAAATACTTTTTTTTAAGCAAAACATCTTACAGACTCTGCAAGGGGTAAGAAACCTTAAAAAAAAACATACTCACCAAAACTTTTTCTCCAGACTGCCAGTTCCTTGGAGAAAGTTAGTGTGTCAGAAATACATTTACATAACCAAATAAAGAATCTACCCTGTTCAGTAGGAGTGTCTCTTATGGAGGAGCAAACATAAGCTCATTTTGTCACAAAAGATTGAATGAATAAAATAAATTAAGGCCACTCGGAGAGAAAGTTCTTCATACTCAGTCACGATCTCTTTCATCTTGTGTCCTCCTTTCAGTGAACCTGAAATAACAAACCTTCAGCGACTGCGATGACAGTCTGAATTAACAACACCGCTCACAAACTCTTCTGATTCAAGCCCTTTGATGCTTTTTGAAGCTATTCTGTCCTGAGTACAATTGTCACGGCTAATACTGACAAGTACAAAGTCACTAAGGCTTTACGCAGCCAGAACGTCTTCACTAGTGTATAATGACAGCCTATTCCTCGCAGGCCTCTCCAGTTATATTTGTGCTGCTCCTCTATTGCTGTCGATCACGTGTCTTGTTGGACCAGTTCATCTTGCACGTTTCCAGAGGCTTCTGTAAGCCGAGATGAACCTGAGGCAATGTGATGTTTATATTATTCTATGTCGTGTATGAATATGTTAGGCATACTCTGCTCCCTCGACACTGTTTGGCTGTTTATAGAGCCTCCGGCAGTCACAGAGACAGGTGTGATATCTTAAAGGAATATTCCAGGTTCAGTACAAGTTAAGCTCAGTTCCCCCCAAACAACTTTTCTGGGAGTAATGGAGTATGTAAGTTTGATGAGCGGTTACAAAATTCTATGGAAAAATTCTATGGCAGCAATAAATACACTTGTACAGCACAGTGATATATTTATGACAAACTCACAAAAATTACATACAGTTGATTTAAGTTTGTGTAACAGAAAAAAAAACCTTTAGATTGTGAAGATGGTCACCTCACGAAAGTTGATGCATTTGTGCAAGTCGTGCTAAAGGTTGTATGTGAGAGAGAAGACTCTTGCAGTCTTTGGGTAAACCCATTAAGTGTGTTAGTTAAGTCGTATCTCGTTTGTGCTCGTCGTTAGTACTTTTACCCTGTAATTCTCAAGCCGCAGCCTTCAGGTCAGAAGCCATGAAGTACATCTACTTGGACTAAAAGTGCAGAGCCACTTGCACCACTGCTGAACTGCAGTAATAATCGACACACAATAAACTGTTTTGGTTCCTCGGCCATCTGGGCTCAGTGCATGTATTAGAGGACTGTAGTTCGCTCGGTTGGTTTTGTGATCGTTAAATAATTGTTTTTCATTATGTTGTCCTTGGGTAAGTGAGAGAGAAAGAGGGATTTAATGAGAGAAAATTGTAAGGCTTGTGGTTTGTGATGCTATTCACTGAGGATTTCGGGTTTTTTTTTTTTATTTTTTTTTTTAGTCCTTTGGTTTGAAGTCCTCGATTCTCCTACTTGACAGATTTTCTTTTAGGCATTATGCTGTTATCACAAAATCAATCCACAAACTTTACAGATTATTTGAGTGTTTATTGTTCTTATTTAGCCATTTTTCAAGTGACCTTGACTTTTTTTCCCCTCATCTACTGTCTAAAATGTGACAAATTATACAATAGATACAATAATAATACAATACAATATTCTGTAAGGGAACGAGAGGAAGAGAGTAACATAATTAAAATGGTTAAAGTTTGCATCATATACTATAATTTACCAAAGGTGTTTATGAAGTTGTAAAATGTAATATTAGTTAAAACTATAACATAAAACAGACTTTTGTTTTGCAAATAGTTTTTTTTTTTTTTTAAATATTCATAGTATTTCAAATGTTTATCTAATTTTCTGTTACTTGTAGAAAGGGCAAGGGCAAGTAAAATATATTATATAAATACATATGTGACCCTGGAGCACAAAACCAGTCATAAGTCGCTGGGGTATATTTGTAGCAATAGCCAAAAAAACACTGTATGGGTCAAAATTATTGATTTTTCTTTTATGCCAAAAATCGTTAGGATATTAAGTAAAGATCATGTTCCATGAAGATATTTGGTAAATTTCCTACTGTAAATATATTACAACTTAATTTTTGATTAGTAATATGCATTGCTAAAAACTTCATTTGGACAACTTTAAAGGCAATTTTCTCTAAATTTTGATTTTTTTTGCACCCTCAGATTCCAGATATTCAAATAGTTGTATCTTGACCAAATATTGTCCTATCATAACAAACCATACATCAATGGAAAGCTTATTTATTCAGCTTTCAGATGATGTATAAATATCAATTTCGAAAAATTGACCCTTATGACTGGTTTTGTGGTCCAGGGTCACATATTATAAAAATAATAATAAAATGTGTGTGTGTTGAGTTTAACCTTTCTGTGCCAACAGGTCAAATACAGGGGGCGGTTCACCAGAAGAAGCTATTGTTGTGGAGACAGGAAGTGATGAGAAAGAAGGCATTGCGGATTCTCTTTCATCTTTGTGTTTAAAGCAAGTCTTCCCTAAATACACCAAGCAGTTTCAGTACTTGCGGGTCGTGGAACGCATCGCTGCCCTTTTCCTGCGCTTCCTTGGTGTCAAAGGAACCATGAGACTGGGTCCAACCAGCTTTCGCACCTTCATCAGGCAAGTCATTAGTTCCTGTAGCTCAACTGGTAGAGCGTGGCATTAGCAAAGCCAGGGTCATGCTGGTAAAATGTAAACCTTGAAAGCAACATCTTCAAAATGAATACATGCAAATGTAACAAAAACACATTACATATATCATTATGGCTAAATGAAATGGAATCAGTGTGATTCTGCCTCCATAGTGTCAGAATAAGGCAACATTCAGGTGTCACGTACCACATTAATCGAGCGTCTCTTTTAGGAACTGCAAGCTGAGTAACAGCAGCTTCTCGACGGCTTCAGCGGACATCCTGTACATCGACATCACCCGTCGCTGGGCTGCAATGCTCCCCGACTCCAGAGAGGCAGGCAAGCGGCCCACCAATCATGATGCAATTTACAGCACATCTTCACTCCCGAGGCCAACACACAATCAAAAAGCTGTTAAACAGCCTCCGATAAAAGACACATTTGCAACTATTCATCATAGCGCATTTCCCCTCACATGCAGTCATAAATGAGATCGTAAGGGGAGATAATTGACAAATAAATTCACTTCTTCGTTCATTTGCCCAGTACTTGTAAATTGGAAAAATAGATGGCCAATCAATTAATGCCACATAACCAAATTTTCAAGTTCTGCCTCAATCTTTCCTATTTAATGTTTTTTTTCTTTAACTTTGAAAAGATACTTTGGTAAATGGGAATATGTGTGTGTGTGTGTCAAAGCTAATGTGCCCACAAGTCATTTCAGCTTTTAAATGAGCACTGGTAATATTCTTTGTGATGGTGCATTAGGTTGGGTCATGCTAGCATCGTTTTCTTGGAGGAACGTATGAAATGAATAATGCATGGCAGGCCATGCTTCTCCTAATCAAACGAGAGAATGAATATATACTTGAGTGTCTGTGCTCCTAAATGGCCAGAGTGGAATGATGTGAGCTGAATTCTGGAACGTTTCGGAAGGTTGCACTGAATTTGGTCATTAGCGCCTCGCAGCAGGGTATCAACACACATACTCACAGAAGACAGACTGTGTGGCGAGAGGAAAGTAATAACTGGTGGATAAGGTTGATGTTTATAAATAATAGAAGTGGCTGCTTAAAAGGAGGGAATTGGACTGTTTGTCCCCGAGGAGGAATAGTAATACATTTACTTTTGAGGAATGCTGACTTGACACTCGGACAGAATGCCTAAAGACGGAATCTTTACCCTCCTGTCCATCCCAGAGTTCAGTCTGCTTCATTTGACATGATAATGCTGAATTCTTTCAGCGCTCCTCATTAGTCTGCTTAATGAAACCCATTTCCTCCTTCTGGAGAACAGCATTGCTTATTAATTGTGGCCATCCGTTCTCAATGTACACATATTTCTGACCAGCGCAGCAGGCCACCTCGCTTTTCTCTCTAGATGTTTTTCACGGCTCCATCTTGGCCTCAGCGAGGGCTCATTAACGCTTCGTATATGTAGTCAGACAAGTGATCTACATCCACTTTCAGACTCAAACCCCCTGAGGGTCCCAGGGACCCTTAATATCAAGTGCCTTCCTGTTGAAATGTGCGGAGAATTTCACTGCTCTCTCTCTCTCTCTTCAAGTTTTTCTCTTTAGAAAGAAGCCATCTGTATTTCTCTCCCTCGGCTCTCAGGCTCAGACGTGACCTTGAGAAATTTGCCGCTGATGATTTGAGCTTGCAGAGGACGTTTTTAGCAGGAACATAAATGTACTGTAATTACGTTTTCATCAGCGTGGAGATACGACTGCGCTAAATAATACAGATGAAGCCCTATTAATGAATAAACAAGCAGAAGGGAAAATCTGCCAAATGTACAATTCTGAATGTAGCCTCTTAAAGCTCAGAAATAATGTCACTGATTGCGTTTTCTTAAAATCTCTCAGTATACTATTGAAATGATAACTGCATGTTTTGTCTTGGTTTATATGGAATTACTATTGCTCGAACTGTATACTCATAATTTTGCTAAAATAACTCATGATGTAAATTTCAGCTGTAGTTGGCAGATAAAATGGACAACAAAGTCCCATAGACTTAAATTAAAGGAAGGATCTGATATCACAGAGTCCCTGTAAATTCGGCTTGAAAATTAACTTCACCTAGAGAATCAGTTTTATACATGTATGTTATTGATATTATTGCAATGCATGTTTAATTTTTTACCTCGTAATTTTTAATAAGAATGTCATAACTCGATCATCTGGTGAATTGAGATTTCTCTCTGCTGACGTATGCCTGACTTCTCCTCTATGCAAGCTGTCATTCATCTCATTTTTGAGTGCAACACCCACATCTCAAAATCCAATCAGCAACTGATGAATAAGTTCCTGCTCTACATTTTTTCACTAAACTATTACACTTGATTATGTCACAATATGAAAGAAAAGATCTATCGACACGTCCATTTCATCACTGCGCCAGTAGAATTTGTATCTACTTGACTGGGGACTGCAATGCTCCAGTAACCCCAAAAACAGAAATAAATACAATCTGATAACAATGATATCATAAATTGTGCTGCTTTTAACTCAAACCCCCCACCCCCCCACCCAAAAAATAAAAAATAAAACCATATTT